AGACGAGGAGGAGGAGCAGGTCGACCAAACTCAGTAGGTCCACCACGCCTTTCGTCAACGTCTTGCCGCCACGGCTTCCATCAGTGCATCAGATTACTGAATCTTGGCGGTTGTGGCAAAAGAGAATTAAAAAAGTAGGGGAAAGTTTTGTCAATTTCTATGGAGCGATAGCATGGAAGTACTTGATGGCAAGCATTGCTCCGCTGGATCAGCCCAAGAACGCATGGAGCGAGCAATCCATTACACTGCTAGAGGAGTGATTGGGAAAATTTGTAGGAGTGATTGCGAATAATGGATCGCAGAGGCGGACACAGTGAGAGATGTAGCACCATTACACAACACCAGTCCATCAGACCTACATCGGGGTAGGGACATCCAGCAGTCGTGATGGTCTTTTCCATGAAGTGCATGTTATAAATAGCGGGCTATGATATTTAACGGCAACCTTCTTCAAAAGCTATAAAGATATATAGCGGAAGCTATACATTTTGCGGTTTTGTAGAAAACATGAAATTACTAATGAATTATGCACATAAACATTTACCTAGACAAAAAAATTATGAACACAAATACTCAAATACATGAATATATCTAGAAGAGAGAGAGAGGTGAGATATGGGCGGTGGAGGGGGGACACACTAGAGTTTTGAACAAGTCGAATTGAGGTTGCTTGCCCTTATACCCATAGGCACTTATATAGGAAATGGCTATTTACAAGTGACCCCTTGGTGGGGTTGGATTTCACATAACACTACTCTAGCTACTAGTTGTGCCTCTTCTAGGGGAAGACTTGGCCCATATACCTCATGGGCTCCTCCAACATCGCTCCCGACAAACACTTCTGCAGGAGGGGCTTCGCCAACTCTTCAACGACTACAACGACTCACCCACGCCAACACTTCCACACGAGGGGCCTCACCATCATCTTCCGTGACTGCAACGACTAACCTTCAACGCCAATAGCTAGAGGGGCTTCTCTGACGTCAACATCGACAATGTATCTTCGTGAATATCTTCGGTGAGTACAACAACTTGATGCCTCTACCAAAATTTTAGTATGAGGGGCTTCGCTGACATCTTCAGCATCTACACAAACATTGCCTTCGTCAAAACCTTCGGCACGAGGGCCTTCGCCAACATCTTCAACATCCACAATGACTTTCCTCCACTAACACTTTGGCATGAGGGGGTTCACCAACATTATCTTCGGCGACTATGATGACTCATCTTCACAAACACATCGGTAGGAGGGGCTTCACAATCATCTTTGGCCACTACAATGGCTCGAGAGCCTTTGTCGACACCTTTCGCGACAACATTTATGACAACTTTCCTTCATCGCCTAGTTTGAGGGGCTACATCAATTCGTTCGGCACCGAGGTCTACTTTACCTTCCTCAACCATGGTGGCTCGAGGGCTCACTGACAACTTCGGTCTGGACATCTACTTCTGGTACTATGGCTACTATGACTACGTCAACTACAACAAGCACAACTGAATATTCAGTCACAAGCGCCAACTAAGAGGAGGTAGGGGAGCATACTGGAGGACCTGACACTCTAGAGAAGATTTGGAGGCTTCACAGCAACCTTCGGCTATGACTACTTTGAGTACATTGACTATGACGACTACACCCATTCATGAAGTGAAGGTGTGTCTCCAAGTGAAGCCTCAGACGAGAAGGTCCCGAAGGCGACGATTTGCATGCTGAGAAGGTCCCAGAGACGAAGATCTATGCAACGAGAAGGTCCCAAAGGAAAGATCTGCATGCTGAGAAGGTCCCAGAGGCAAAGATCTACGTGTCGAGCGAAGCTAACAATCCATATCATAGAAGTGGCCAAGGAAGTTGATGCCCAAATATGAAGATACCACGGAGGTTGACATCCAGACACTTGGAGTTAGTGGCTTCCTAAGTTAGCACTTGTATAGACTAGAGTTGTGTGTGTGGTCTTTTCTCTATGCCCCATGTAGGGTTTTTGAGATGGAGTTTTTAGTGAGGCGCGCATACATAGATTGCGAAGGGTGATTCTCATGACCAGGGTTTGAGTTCTATTTGCGCCTCGTCTAGTTCGAGCATCTATTAGGTCATGTTGTATCATAGTTGATGGGCAATTGTTGTGGGAGCCCATGAGGTATATGGACCAAATCTCCCCCTAGAAGAGGCCCAACTATCAGCTAGCGTAGTGTCATGTGAAATCCAACCCCACCAAGGGGCCACTTGTAAGTAGCCATTGCCTATATAAGTGACGAAGGACATGAGGCCATGAGGGCAAGGTACCTCACCTCCCACTCATTTTCACTTGTTCAAAACCCTAGTGCATCCCAGTACACTATCGAGCTCTCTCCTCCCTCTATCTCTCTCTCCTGTTCAGAACCGTTAGTTCCAACACATTATTTAACATCTATCATATCGATCAACATATTGTTGTGATCAACACTCAATAATCAATTGTTCAATAATTATTAAATAACTTATTACATCATTTATATTACGTAAAGAACCTAAAGGGAGAGGCATAGATTATAGTTTTATAGACTAAAGAATAAGTATCTACCTCAGTCAGGATTAGGGTGCTAAAAATATATTGTGATTAAATTAAATAGCAATGTTTAGTGGTGTTAAAATGTCATTAACGGTAATAGTGGAACAATTGACAATAGAGTAGCGGTAGACCCTTAGAAAAGCTATAGCAACACAATAGCCTATGAAACCCCCACCCCTTCTCCTTTCGAAGCTCACCTCACTCCTTTCACGACACCCGACGCTCAAGCCCTACTCGCCTCTCCTTCCACCACTCCCCACTCCCCATGCCTAGCTCAACGCGGGCACCGATGGCGCATCGCAAGAAGGCCGCCACAGGCGAGGACGGCAGGCAAGGCGGGTCGGGCAAGGTGGGTGGAGATGGTGGCAAAGGTCATTGCGGTCGGCAAGAGGGGCGGAGATGGAGGGAGGGGTGGAGCGGGGGTGAAGCGGGGATCGATGGCAAGGGCGGCCATGGCGGTCGTGGCGGTGTTGTCCCCCTGCGCTACCGCCTAGCCGTTGTCCGCTAGGCGTACGTCCGTGTGATACTGTGCTGTCCCAGCCAAACTGTTGCGTGTGATTTGTTGTTTTCTGTGTGAATGATGTGGATGATCGCATGGGCGAGGGTCTTCCGTGTGAATGATCTCGGTACAGTTGGTGTGAAATAGAACCCCTGAACTTTATGCTTTGGCAAAGATTAGGGGCCATATTCAGCACCAACTTTGGCAAAGATGGTCTGCCATGCATGCAATGTCGGTGTGGATTGTAACATCCCGCCTCCTCGAGGCCAGGCCCCTCACAGACCAACACCAGTCTTTTCTGCGCACTTTATCCTCACTCATGCGCCCCCGGGAAGAACTTTCCGGTCGGTCACCCATCGCTCCAGGCCAAGCACGCTTAACCTTGGAGTTCTTAAGAGATGGGCTTCCAGAAAAGAAGTTGCAACTTGTTGGTACGAATATCCTATTAATCCTATTAAGCCCTGAGCCGGGGTGTTACATGAATGCTTGTAATTTTTGTTTTGTGGTGCTCAGGCACATTAATAAAATAGCTAGGAGGGAATGTTTATGTTTGTTTGGCTTTCTTAATGTGACGTTCGGAGTGTTGGTCTGTGACTAACAATAATTGAAGTAACGTTGTCCAAGAGCACCATTTAACATGAAAATAGTCTCAGACTTGATATGCTATAGTTTTTGCATAATATTGAATGCATCACAATCCAGAACAACTAAATAAACATTGAATTTGGGTCGCATAACAGTGTACATTCGACTTCATCATTCTATCCTGACATCTCTTCTGCCTCTAGATGTTTTGTTGCACTCTGAACTTGCTCCAACTCCATCTTCAGCGTTTGTTATCTTCACAGGCTCTCCTGTTCAGAATGAGAACTGTCAGAATCCGTTAATCCTCCATGAGTTACTGCTATTGAACCAAACATTATCATATCAAGAAATATAGTTACTGCTATATCATATGTCCAAAGCTATGTTGCATTTGAAAGCCAATAAGATGTATCTACTTTCCAGCAATTGTTTCTCTTCACTTGTTGAGCTCTTTGTTGTATAGCAAGCTCAAGCATCACTGGCAGCTCAAGCTTGGTGGAATGGGATGGGTATGCTGTTGTTCTTGCCGGCTAAGGTACCAATCAGTGTGGAAGTCGATGGCCTGATGCTGATTTGGTTTCTAGTCCCATGGATACTCGAGACCCAGGTTGTAGCTGTGTGCTGTAGGCTGCTGCCACACTGTTGTCCAAAGAGAGAAGATTATGGCCACTATTAATCGTCAGGTTATTGCAGGGGGGGTTTTTTCCTGGAGCACCAAACTCAAATAAGCACGAGCACGATTTGATTAGTGGGTTCGGCAAGCTCTAATAACCACAACGAAAGAAACTCCTTGCCGCGGAAATGAATAACCATTCACAGAATAATAGTAAACCGCCGGGAGCCAGGACCACGACAACAACACGATATAGGCCAGAACATGTAAACCAGAAAATGGTTTACGCGAAGAGCACAATCCGCACGTCCAACATGCAATACAGATTCAAGATTACAGAAATTTATTGATTTCTGTTGACAGTACAAAAAAAAAACCAAGCCACTGTCACTCGTATTGACCATCTAGAGTTCTTCGAATGTCCGAACTGACGAATTCTAAGCGCAAAAATTGAAAAAGGTGATCCACCAGCTATAACAGTCTAAGTGCCCTCTTACAATTACCATTCAGAATAAACAACCCCCGGCAACAGGTCACCTTACAGCAGATGTCAAAAACCAAAACTATTATCGAAATGTATAAGAGAACCGAAGTATCAGACCAATTTCACCAACACGCCTAGGCAGAATCAAGAGCCGAGAACAAAGAAGCAGGATAACACCGCTGTGCTGGCGAACCCTCTGAACTGCTAACGCTATCATTTCTGGCAAGCAGCAGAAAAGGTGTGTACAGAACTGGCTGCATGAGAAGGCCACAAGGTTTACATTCTGAAATTCTGCCTTGTCTTGATCATCCGCTTCAATGCCGCAAGCCAGAAGTTGCACTCATCCCAGTCACTTGTTGTTAAGAGTACCTGACAACAACATTGTGCAGTTGCAGATAGTTAGAAGTCAAGGAAGAACTGATATCCAAACTTTCAAAAGAACATGGAGAAGACAGACACTACAGAACCTAAAAGATCAACGTCCAATTTACCTGGAGGTGCATCGCAGTGGCAAAATCACTAGCATCAATTGCACTGCACAACTGAATGAGTTTTGATGAAACATTTGGAGATATGTCGCCACTATTTAGTTTTGAAAACAATGCCCCTATTTTCCTTGAATTGTCCTCAATTTCACGTTTTTTTGCTTGAGTTGCTTGTGATCCTCCCAGAGCTTTGGACGTCTCATCGAATAGCCTGGTTAGTGTACCAATTGCAGGTCTCAGCTCAGCTGCAAAGACAACAAGAGTGTTAGATATTTGGTAGACCTCATATGAAATCACAAGTCAGAAAAAAAAAATCCTTGGAACCAGAATAGAACAAGACAAGATAGTGGTAACAGCAAAAAGATGGAAGCCTTTAGCCTTGCATCTGCATTCGACATACCAGACACTTTTGTCGTATCAGCTGTCTGCACAGTCGGCGGAGGTGCAGGAGGAGCTGGCTGTGCCTGCACCTGCGTCGGACTTGAGGGCTGTGCAGGACTTAAACCTGGCCTCGGAGCAAAGCTTTGATTGTTCGATGGCATAAACCTAGAAGTTGAGTTAGTAGCAGCAGAATGTGGAAACATCTGGTTAGGGACTGTTCCTGAATGGGGCGCGCCGGACCAAAAGAAGATACTGGTGGAGCAGCAGGCTGATATTGAACAGGCGATACAGGCTGATGAAATGTTGTTGGAGGTCCGCTTGGATAAGGAGCAGATGGTCCAGAAGAATACGGTTGATTTGCAGCACCCTGTTAAGACCAGAGAGACCAGTTTGGAACAAATATCACAGAAATACTAGTAAATATAAGTCACCAGTATACCTACCGTGTAAAGCTGGGAACCTAAGGTATTAGGTTGCTGATATTGTCCAGGATTTTTTTAGACCAGCTGGGTTCGCAGGAGTAAATGTCTTCACTGTTTGCTGAGGCACTGGTACAGGTGAAGGGCCTGGCTGTTGCTACGAAAAAAAAATGTCAAAATAAACAATGAGTGTAATAATTTTGCATTGCCTTAAATGGAAAACGACACAAAACACTCATTAACTTCAGATGAGACAAAATTCTGCTGGTCAACCCTCAAAAGTAGCATACACTTGAGCAAGAAAAACTTCAAATACATGGGGGGGAGGGGCTACATGTTCAGACACCACAATATATCCAACATTACATTTCTTTTGTTCAAACACAGCACCAAAACAAGGGAAACCAAATATTTGCTATTTTGCAGTCTTAATGGCACAAGGGCGTGCAAGTGAGACAGGTGATAAGTTCAAAAATTCCAACATAATGTACCAAATACTTGCTGCAACGAACTGGGCACTCAAAACTACAAACCACTGAGAAGCTTCTCCAAGCACAACTGGCCTATAGGGTTGTTCACCTACATGTGATGCTAAAAAAAAGGATTTCCTGAATCACAAATACCTGAGAATTGGCAGGTGTGCTAGGTGGAACAAACATATTGGTTGGTTGTTGAGGTTGATATGCGTTGTTGTATCCATAGGCTCCAGTAGGTTGTTGTGGGTAAGCTTCTGAATATGTATTACTTGGAAAATTGTATGGTTGAGGTACCTGCTGTTAGCAGTGGTCAGAACATTATACTACAAAACCAATAGAGCAAAAATGCCACTCCCACTATCACAAATGTTAGGTTTAAGACATTGTCACGGCCTTACAAGATGACACTTTGACTTTAGTTTTATGAGAATATGACATTTTAAATATGTTCAAATATTGTGAAATTATTTTTATGATGAACCTAGCAACATCGATATTACAATGTAAACCTACTATGTAACTCTTATACAGAAAAGGTTTGACAGAAAGAAAACCTAAAACGGCACATTTGTTAGGGAGTATTAGTTTATTCTGGCAAACATTGAACTGGTAAATCAAATGGCAAATTTTAAGTATGAAATGATGGTACAAGAGGGAACCTGGTAAACATTCTGAGAATGGTCTGGGGTGGTATATGGTTGATTTGTGACATTGGGGGAAGGAGTGCCGGTGCTTTCAGAAACAGAACTCCTAGCATTATCGTTCTCTGCAAAATAAAACTAATAAATACTATGGTATAAAATCCATGTGTAATTACCAATATTTCAGGACAACAACATGAAGAAAAGTGACTTTACTCTGGATACAAAAAGGCAAAACAAAAGACAGGTTCTGCAAGTTCAAATGTGAATATTCACAGCGTACATGCTAAAGGAGGAATTAAATCGATACACCAAATTTAAACCAAGGAATACTTCATTTACATGTAAGCAACAACGAAAAGTTAAACAAAGATAAGGAAAAAAGAGAGGATAATATAATGTTGCTATACAGATCTTAGATGTACAAGTTCTGGATAGAGGCTCAAGGTTATTGCATGGAAGGCTAGCCAAAAGCTGAATGAAGTAGCGAGATATTTGGTAGTAAATAACAATTAAAAACATCAAACATAACAGGATGAAAAACAACTTTGTTACAGTATTAAATGGGATCAGTGGTGCAAGGTGTGAGATGGCCAGTACTTTTCAACATGCACAGGCACCAACGGGAATACATAACCCATTCAGTTCAACAATGTGTGGTCACATCATAGCAAAAAAATATATAGACCGGAAAAAATGGATAAAAAAAACTTCAAACCAATGAAAGACAGAATAACGGAAGACAAAATTAAGTGATGTTAGTTTGGAGCGACCTTCTGTAGAACATGCAATTCGATCTCTCAAAATTGCCAGCTCTTGCGAATGTTCATCTGATCCCAACAGTTTTAAATACACCATTGCAGTTTTAAGAAGACCTTGACTAGCCAGCAATTCAGCGTAGTTCTCAACAAGCTTAGACAGTGACGTGCTAAATCTCTTGTGGCCCGTAGCAAGGGCAAGAGTAATGGTTTTTTCCATCAAATCCTGCATTTCCACAGTGGTCAATTAGGAACTGTTTGGGAGCAATGCTATAGAATGTGAACTACTATTATGCAACCGTACCTGGAGAAGATCAACATAAGTCTTCCCACCATCTTCAGATTTCAAGGTGCGGGACCAAATTTCAACAGCTTTGTCAATATTTCCAGAACAAATATAACAGAGGGTTGCAGCTAGCGTATCTCCAACATTCAGAAGTCTAGACGCAAGCGTGTCACACAAAATATGCCACTCCTCTTTCCGTGCAAACTGTTTTGAGTTCACAGTTAAGTTGATTTCATAAACAAGCTCATATCAAATTTATACCATAGATAAGGAATATGAGAAGTCATCAACCCAGCTAAAAAACTGTTTCACTGGGAAGACAGCCAGTCCACTGGTTAGAGAAACAGTTTTCTAAACAACAATCTAAGAAAATGCAGGTAATTAAAGTTTGTTCAGTAAGGTTCTATTTACAGCTTGACAGAGTTTGGACAAAGTTATGTTTTGCGAGCTGGTCAGATAATACAGCTTATCCTCTCTGAGAAATCCAGCATGAGTTCAAGCATCCAGTCACCAACAAAAAAACATGGTGGTCAGTACTCATGTGTGCAATATCAGATTACCTGTTATGGTTTTAACTCTGCTACTCGGGTTTGAGCCTTTGAGGTCATCCATTACATGGGCACCCAAATAATGAACCAGGCCAGGCCTTTCAAATGCCAACTATATTTCTATTGAACTACTCTACTAGTCCAGCCAAATTTTCATAACTAGGACCAACATGGTGCTAAAAACACATCAGACTGGACAGCGTCCAAATCAGTTCAGTCTATAGTGACTATAAACAAGATAACAAAGAATAAAAATGCAATGCCACTTTAGGACCCATCTATCAAAGCTTGAAAGTTAAAACCGGTCAAACCACCATCAAGGTAATTCTAGATTAGAAGACATGGCAAAAGAAAACACAAACTGACTGAACAAAAAAAAATTTGTAGTTTGCACTTACTGTGCAAAGCAGAGCAAGAGTTTCCTTCCATGAACTTAGTGGCCAGGTACTCACAAAACTCATTAAATCATTGCCCACCATAGCAGAGACAACCTATACTTGAAACAGTATAACAATAAATAATGGTGATTATGAAAATTACTATGTACAAATAAATACATATATTCAAAACCAGGAATAAAATGAAACCTTTAAGTAGGGCGAGATACTGTTCTTAAGATAATGATTTCTTGTACTTTCCCAGAGAGCAGAACCACCGGCATGGGCTATAACCAAAGCATCAGCCATACGATTAGCAGCAAGACACTGGTTAACTGCCCCTTTGTAGTCTCCAACCACCAATGCATGTTGAATGCTTTTGTCAATTGATGGATCTGACGGCACAACATCTCCAGACATTTCCTGCTCTATCTGTTGATCATTTGTAGAAACTGGTTCTTCAGCCAAGCTAGCCTCTGAAGGTTGAGGATTGTTGAAAAAATCATCCCCATTATCAATAAGAAACTGGGCATCCGTATTATCGGTTACTGTGGCATGATCAAGATTAAGTGTATCTGCCAATGTTTGGCTCAATTCATCAGTTGAACTTGCAGGTGGTGCCTGAGGTGGTTCGAAGCCAAGATGAGTAAGCAATTTTGTCCGTGCAAAATCCCCGTCCTCAAACATAATCCTTAAGAAGCCCCATGTTTCTCTCTCCTCGTCAGATCTGATCAAACATGCAACGCATAAAGTTAGTCTTCATGCAAGCACCAGGAGCAGTTCTACTAAAGGAGAAGTACATACAAAGATTCTTGTGATTTTTTTTCACACAGAGCACGCAGCGAACTTTTGTCGCCATTCTGAATAGCAGCTTCAAATTCAGTTGATCGGCTCACCAGACTTTGCTCAATCACCAAATTGTGAACATGCACCTATAAAAAACATAATATAAACACAGGTACTTGAAGAGTTGCAGAAAGCAGGGCACTGATAAAGAATACTTACCTCAGATGTAGATGCTTGTGCACCTTGGGTGGGTGCCACCGGATGGAAAGAAACAAGTTTACCACCGAAGCCAAAAGATGCACCAGTGGGGCATTTCAACCATTTTGGAGCCGGAGCCCTTGGACGTGCTGATCATAATTTAGTTCTTATCAGACAAATCGTATCAGAGAAAAGGTACGCACGCTAGTATAATTAGTGACTAACTGGTATGGCTGTTCAATTGGAACTCTATAAAGTGAAGAAATAGATGTTTTTTATTAAGGTGCTTACAGCTTAGTTACAGTCTTATATAGATCTAAACAGCAATCTTAATCAAATGGTCACCACAACTAACCCAGTTCACCAAATACAGGCAAGATAGTATCTAGAACAGTTAACAGAGTGTAACGCGGAGGGGAAATAAACCAGCCAGTAATAATCTCAAACATAAATCAAATCCGATATAAAGGGCATTGTCATAGAAAGAAACATCACATATGTCCTTGTTATGAAATGATGGATCAAGGTCAATATTGTTGAAGAGTGCTTTAAGATCATGCAAGGGCTGTACACAAAACCAAAGGCAACAATCTAACTGAATATGTATCTAACTATCACAGAAACTTAAGCAAGAGGCAGTATGCTAATTCACCTGGGGCACCAACAGTATCACCAGCCGCATAAAGACCAGAGAACTGTAAAAGATAATAAATATATAAAGGGATTAAATACTTTGTATGCATTATGCAAGCAGTAAACATGAAAGTGCGGACTCACATACACTAGTGATGGATAAAATAAACCTGGTGCAACCAACCAACTCATTTTATAAGATGCGACCAAGCATAAAATTTAATTCACACTGAATAAATAAATAAATGAGGAAATTTGGTTGCCAAATATATGTGCACAAAAGATATGATTATAATCAAGCTGAATCAGTCAGCCTAGTCCCGGCTCAACTTTTAGTAACAAGTCCCATAAAAAAGAGAATCTTAAGATGGAGCTTAGAGGCTTGAGGACCCGTTTAGTCAATCTTAAACGCACAATCGTAATAGTAGATTAATCCTTCCAATTCACATTGTCGCTTGTCGGTTAACCTTCAGCAGCCCCACCACCAACACACACACACACACACATACACAAATCATAAGGTTGATTTGGATCTCTAAATAGCTTGACAACTGTTCTCTCCAGGCATCCATGGACCTTGCCACGTGTTCTCACCTTACTGTACAATCTACATTCAAAACAATATGTAGCTACCCACTATGCAAACCTCATTCCTTCCACATGCACACATTCACGGACCCATTTGACTGCTCCACTGGGGCATGAGCACCTTAACTTCTGAGCAATTCACAACCTCACCGGTCATCAATTCCCGACTTCCTGCTTAAGTGATCGCTGTTACCACAGGATTGCGCTTAAATATTGCTGGATAATGCCCCACAATACACTATGTACTTCCAGTCTGATAACTAATTCTATTAGTGAACTTTATTGCCCTAATCGCACATTTTCCAGGTCACAAACTCAGCCGAAACAAAAGCATTAACATGCTCAGCTGTCGACTGTCGTCAATGACAAATCAAAGTGTCATGTGCTCTTTAACACTTTATAAAAGAAACATAGCATAATACTCTCCAGCTGTAACTTAAGACAAACAGCACTAGAATGTCCCACTTCGATGATACCAATGACTTCTATAGCACTATCGACCTATACGAGAAATAAATGTTTAACACGGTATATTAGGAAATCCTAGACCAGGTCTCAAAAGCTTGATGACAGTTCTGAGTGCAATGAAGTTGAAGCATATTCAAACCCACATAAATTTAACGAACAGTATCCAACATATATTCTTAAGTGGGAAAATATAAGCATCATTACCTCTAGGTTGTATATGCCAATTTTCCCATCAAATGAGGATGCTGCAATGACACCTGGTATTTTCCGGTACCAGTGAAGGTCAAAGTTCCAATTAGCACTTGCAGGTAGTTCACTAATAATCTGTAAAAAATAACACAATGAAAAGGGGATGGTAAGAAAAAACTTGTTTCAGAAAATAAGAACATAATATATCTCTGCAGTTTGCTTTTAGATGTTTAAGTTGTAATATACCTCTCCACTAACAGTATCCCAGCAAATTGTTCTATTGTCTTTTGAACATGTAAGCAAGAATGAACTATCATAGGGGCACCACGACATAGCAATTACACCTGCTCAAAAGAGAATACATCAATATAATAATAAGTACATGCAATTTAAGTACATTGGCAAGCAATAGATGGGAAACAAACAAGATTAGGGGAGAAATGAAACCTTTTGAATGGCCAACGAATTCTCTAACTGGTGAGATGGTCTTCCTCACATCCCAAACCTGTGAAAATAGTGTATGAGCAGTGATACTGATAAAAATGAGAAAAAAAAACTTAATAGAATGAGTGTGTGATGTGAACTTGATGGAACATCACTGCATAACCACCCTTTTCTTCAAAAAGTACTGAATGCCATTTTTAAAGAAGCCCAAAATGAAAATGAACAGCTTTGTCTATTTAATTATAGGTGCTATGAGCTTACATGGAAAAACGTAAGTAAACTAGATTATTTTGGGGGATTGGGTGTGCAGAGGAAAGGGGATTTAGAAAAGGTAATTACTCTCAGTGAGGGAGAGTTGTCATCATCTGATGCAACAATCAGCTGGGTGGACATATCTGGATTCCATTGGAGAACAGAGCATTTCCTTCGATTTGAATCTGAAAAACTGTTCAACAGTTCAAAATTAATCAATCCAAATCATAGATTGTATCAAAAAAGATCCTGAAAGTGCATAAGTAACTCTAGCAACTACTGTAATTACCTAGTCAGTGGTTTCTGATTCCTTAAATCCCAAACAACTGCAGGGAAACAAAATTAGTCAGACAGAACGATCAGAAGTCCAAGTGATGGTAACTGATAGCTAAACTTTTGCAGAATCAACCAAAATTTAATTTACCTGTCATCCCATTACTCGAAGTTGAGGCAACTATATGTTGGAACTTGGGATTCCAGGATAAACAAGAGATTTCAGCTTGCGCATGGGACCCAACACTCTGTTAAAATTATTATACTTTAAAAAATGATTACATGCTATAAAAGGTTGAACAGAATAATGTAGCCAGAACATAGTGACATAACTGAAATATCCAAACACATCCTGCTTTACAACTATGTCACGTGCCCTAAACCTCAACTTTATTTTTTTCATTGACAGCAACCCACATCAATCATATGAAAGAACAAGCATGGAAACACAGTAAGATAACATAAAGGATTCTACAGGGGAAAAACTTGGTTTGCATTCAACGGACTAGTGTAGCACAGGCGCAAACATCCAGATCATAAAGGATGACCATAATCTTGCACAATCAGTTTAAAGTCGCTCAGTTTCATCCCTGCATCAAATAGTGTAGCCAGTTCTGCTCATACTGAATGAAAAATAAACATGAGAATGCTACTACATATAACTCAAAACATCACCGTCTGGAATGGCAAAAAACATGCTAGGGTCACCATAAACACGCAAGATGGCATCATGTTTACCATGGAAAAAAAAAGCACCACTGAATCATTACAAGCCGTGAGTAGCAGAAACCATGCATCTCATGAATAACCATTAACCAATCAGGCAAATCCTTAATCCTCTTGTATGACAATAAGCTCTGTACAAAACTGCGAGTACCTTGAGTGGTGGGTACACAATTGGCTCAACAGGGTTCTTGAGATCCCAGATGCAAAGCTCCCCCTGCTCAGCCCCAGAAGCGAGCCGATTCGGCGTGAGATCACTGAACTCCAGTCCACAAACCTGGCAGACCGAACACAAACGCAATCAGCACACGACGCCAACCCCGTCAGAACGCCAGGCGCGTAAAACTAACTAGCCAGCCCCGCGCGACTCACCGGCCCGGTGTGCTTCTCCAGACGCGCGACCATGGCGTCCTCCGCTTTCCCCTCGGAGCTGAAACAGCGATGCAATTCAGTCAGAACGGGAGCAGATCTCAAGTGCGAAGCGGGGCGAGGGAGGCGGATCCGGACCTGATCATGCTCAGCGGGTTCCACACGGCGACGGAGCCATCGCTGAGGCCACCGGCGAGGAGTCCTAGCGCGAAGGAGTCGCCCTCGACGGCGCCCGGGCGCGACCAGGAGAGGCGGTTGAAGCGGTCCGGGGAAGGCGCGGAGGCGAGGAGCGGGAGGTCCGGGGAGTCGGACTGGAAGTCGAGGCGGAAGATCTCGATGTTGGCGGAGTTGGAGAAGCTCAAGTCGACGGCGCCGGTCATGGTGCCCGCGGCGAGGTACGGCGCGTCCGGCGCCAGTGCCGTCTGCGCCGCCCGCTGCGCGCTCTTGATGCACGCCATCGCCGGCGAGACCGCGCAGATCTGGGCGCGCGCGCTCTCTCTAGCTCGCCCAGGGCAGGGGCGCTGCACGGATGAATTGCGAGGGCGATCTGGAGATCGGGGGGGGGAGAAGAGAGGTGGTGGTGATGCGGCGGGAGAGGGGTTGGGGACTTGCCGAATCGCTGCGGATCTGATCGGGTTAAAGCGGGGGTTTGCGCTTACCCTGCTGTGTGCCAGCGTGCTGGCACGCGTGATTTGGAAGCCTTCGGCCGCGTCATTACGAGCGATCAAGGCCGTTGTTTACTCGAATGGATTACTCTGAACCGTTAGATTTGAACATGCATTAGCGGATGTGTGTACATAACTTCCAAAAAAAAAAGGCAGATTAATCCAGTTTCTTAGTGTCTTATCTAGAATCCAGATATAAATTGATGATATTCCAATTTACTACCTTCGTCCTAGAAAAAAAATATAGATTTGGTGAAAGTCAAACACTTTTAAGTTTACTAAGTTTATGTAAAATAGTATATCGCTTCAAATAAATATATCTGGAAATATATTTCACAACGAATCTATTGATACTTATCTAGTATGATGATTTGGTATCATTTTATATAATTTTGGTCAAATTTCAAAATCATTTGACTTAGAACTATTATATAATTGCATCTTTTCTGGGACAGGAGAGTATATACTTTTATACATAGATAAATTGGTACTTCTTTCATTCCCATATTAGTTTATATTTTATATTTTGTCCAGAGTTAAAATTCAATGACTTTGGTCATGTCTATAAGAAAAAGAAAGTACACCTATGCCTATATTTGTGAAGTATGTTCTAGTACTACATTTATTTGAACATGTGAATGATGCCCTCTCCATTCTAAATTATAAGGCGTTTTGGCATTTCTAGATACATTGCTTTAACTATGTATCTAGACATAGCGTATATCTAAGCGCATAGCAAAAACTATGTACCTATAAAGCCACAACGTCTTATAATTTAGAACAAAGGGAGTAGTGTTTTTTTCTAAAGTAAAATTATAATTTGGGACTTTAGGAGTATGAAACCAATTTTGCGGCACTCCAAACCAACATTTCTGTTGAGTGATTTGCAAATATGAAACATGTCCTGAGTAGGAGTTATATATGAATAATGCACCACCAAGTACTAAAAATTATCTTAAACTACATAAGGTGAGAATAGTGACCTCTGCGATGCTAAAACTAAGAGATTATATTTATAAAAAGTTGGGCTGATGCATGTTATAACCAATGGCGCATCAAATATTTACAAGATTACCCTGTGGTCTTAATTATATTCTAGATAGAACCAATGTACTATGCCACTACCGATGGACAATCACTGTCTTTTATGGATTTGTTGTTGTCTATATAGTAGTAGGTAACATGCTAGCATATATTTGTCACCCCAAGTGTAGTTGATTTCAGGCATGTTTGGATCTTTAGCCATACCTTGCCAACGTAAGGAAATCAAATGTAGTTGAGTGTTTAAATATCTGACACATTTTTCTTGTTTCTGTGTGCTTGCTACCATAGGCTAGTCAATTTGGCTCTCTGACCCTAGCAAAGTAAGGCTATCATGGGATGACAAGGTGAGGCGAGGCAAGTAAAGGAACCAAACTGGCTTGAATTGTCATATGTTTATTCATTGATGCAACTATAGAGACACCTAGTCATGTCACTAGGTGCAGAGCTAAAATGCAACATCGTTGATCTCAAGATTTGTCGAATCGGTCTTATGCTGAAAAAGTTAACAATAAATTAAAAGCTAAAATATTACGTACAATCCACATAGATAAAATCCTAGATCCACATCTATCCATATCATCTGAGGCCATATCTAATGGCACCGCACTGTTGATGCCATGTGTCACAAGCTGTGCGACCCTCTACTTTCATATGCTCTTCAACCGTGCCAAAGGGTGCCTAGCTGAACTGATTAGGTGGCCTCAGCGGCACTCCTCAGGTCCTGAGTTCGACTCCGCGTAAGAACGAATTTTAGGCTGGGGTTAAAAAAATCCCCTCGTCTGTCCCACGGCCAAAGCACAAGTCAAAAAAGGCCCGGGCCGGTTCTCATAGGGCAACGGTGCCCCTGTGTCAGGGTGGGGCAGGGGTTCGGAGATTTTCTCGGCTGTGTGGGAAAGTCTTCTCTACTACAGCAATGCCAGGGGTGGCTTACCCCTGAGGTCGAGTTTTTTTTTATATGCTCTTCAACCGTGAGTTTTGGCGAGAAGATCTTCGCAAATAGAACGAAGGAAAGGGCCATTTAAAGAGCAAAGGACTCGAGCTCTAAAAAGACAAAACAAAAAGAGCACAAAGCACGACCGAGCCCATTTCGACAATCCAGGCCTGCCTGACGACACGTTGACGAGAACAACCCGGGCCACAAGCCCACAAACTGCAGGCCTTCCTGGTCGGAGTCCGGCCCATTATTCAATCATCAGTAGTACTGTAGCAGAACAGAAGGCACGAGGCAGAATGGTCATCGACCGCCGTGGGTTCTCAACCGCTCGACACCTAAACCGCAGATGTGCTGAACATGGCGGTGGCGGTGGCACGTCTCCCAGACTTCAGCTGTTGCATCTGCGTTGCACCGGGCGGCATGGCACAAGCTAAGCTAGCGCGTGCATGGGGTGGCGTGGCGGTGGCGCTCACAAGTCACAACTCACACACGTCCGCTCGGACTCCAGGGGCATGTCTGCGCAGAAGTCAGCAGTGTAGCAGACGGCGTCAACACGCCACCTCGCCGGCCACACGGTGCCGACCTGACAGGGGCGCGTGCTCTCGAGTCCCAGGCTACTGCCGTTGCGTGGCGAGCCGCGCGGCCGCCACGTCGACCGAGGCCACCCATCCATCCAAGCGACGCACGGGAACGTGGCATTCCGGCGCGACGGCACGAGCGCGCTCCCGCGCCATGCGTCACGGTCACGCGCGCGCAGAGCCCCCGCTCGCCTTCTATAAGCAGCGCCGCGTATCGCTTCTGTTTTGCGGCGGATTGGATCGGATCGGAACGAGAGCTAGTCAGCTAGCGCCGCGTGGGGAGTACAACACCTCGAGACCGACCACGGGAGAAGCGTGCAGGGACGCGTCGGCGGCGGACCGGCAGCTGCGGCAGGACGAAGCGGGCGGCGGCGGCGGCGGAGGGCGGCGTCATCATGCGGAGAATGAGCTCGTCGGCGACCCGGCCCACGACTCTGCCGTCTCGGAGAAGCTGTACGAGGTCGTTGATGGCGCTCAACCACATCTCCCGCCTGTGCGAGTCCGTCGATGCCTCCGTTCGGTTCTATGTCAAGGCGCTCGGCTTCGTGCTCATCCACCGCCCGCCGGCGCTCGACTTCTCCGGCGCATGGTACGTACGGACCATATATAAGCTTCTCCGGCGGGCCGCCGGCAGACTTGTCCGAACTCCTATGTTGCAGTGCAGGCTCTTCAACTACGGCGTGGGGATCCACCTCGTGCAGCGCGACGACGCGCGGAGGGCCCCCGACGTGAGGCCGGAGACGGAGCTTGACCCCATGGACAACCACGTGTCGTTCCAGTGCGAGGACATGGGCGCCATGGAGCGGAGGCTCCAGGAGATGCGCATCCGGTACAAAGAAGCGGACCATCAACGAGGAGGAAGGGTCGCCCATCGACCAGCTCTTCTTCAGGGACCCCGACGGCTTCATGATCGAGATCTGCAACTGCGAGAACCTGGAGCTCGTCCCCGCCGGCGCGCTCGGCGGCCTCAGGCTGCCCCGCGACCGCCACAACCCGCCCGTGCGCATGGCCGCCGGCGCCGCCGAGTAGACTAGGAGGCGTGCGCGTCCTCTAGTAGACTCGCCGTAGCGGGCGCTTATGCTGGATTCTGGGCCATGTTTCGCGCCGAGAGTTCAAGTTTTGAATTCGAATTTGTACTAGCTAGTTTAGTTTTGCTTTCGTTATCAGGAGACCAGTAACTAGGAACTAAGCAGTTTTGGTATGTGCGTTTGGGTTCAAATCTTCCATTTCTAATGTTGTAAGGGTTTTTTTATTGGTACCATTACAGTTCTTTAAGTTTTGAAAACTACCATTACTATTCACCTATCTGGGACCATGCCATTACAATTCGAAGTAAGCTGGAGCCATGCTATTTTCTACGCTAACGAAGACGTTAGGCCCACTTGCAGTCGTTCTATTTTTGTATAGACGAAAATGTCCCTGCTGCCTCTGTCTCCTTCCACTCACTTACGTGTGGACCCTACAGGTCAGATCCTCCTTCAATCTCTATCCAACTCCTTCGGTCCCCTCCTCTCCAATGGAGAAGGGCAGGCGCGGCGGTGCCATCGAGCACGCACCAGGGGCTCGGCGAGGCCGCCACGTCCGGTGGCCGCCATGATCTGGCGCGATCTGGACACGGCCGCATGACAAATCTGAGTGAAATCGCCGTGAAGTGGCAGTGTGGCCTGCACTGGGAGGGGCGTGGCGTGGCTGGGCGGGGCTGGGGCAAGCCGCCGTGGCGGGGGATGAGGGAGCCGACGTGGTGGTCGCTTCTAGGGGCGGCCGAGGCTGGGGCCAGGGCGACGCCGATCGGTGCCGGGGTCACGACGCCATGGGCGGCGGGGGAGTGGATGGTGGCAGGCGAGGTCGCCGGATTCGGGGCGGCGAAGGCCGGGGCACCGCTGGCGCGGTGCCGGAGCTGCAGGGGCCGAGGTCACGAGGCCACCATGGACGGCGCATTGGTGGATTTGTTTGGGAGAGAGAGAAATACTTCAAGATGGTGGCCGCAACTTGGCCTGGCACTAAGGCAGGACGAAAAACTCGAAGCTCGTTAGCTCGCTCGGCTTGTGGCTGGCTCGGCTCGTTACGATAACGAGTCGAACCGAGCCAAGATTTTAGCTCGTTAGCTATAATGAACCAACTCGAGCCAACTCGCGAGCCGCTCGCGAGCTAAACGAGCCAAGCTTCCAGGAAAAAAGTATCAAAACTTATATTAGTTTTTGTATTACTTCATGTCTTGCACTTTACAATTGACTGGTAACTGATCTAGACCCTATAAATTGACTGATAACTGGTCTAGATGCATTTCTTTTATATTATTATTATTCTCAAATTTTAGATAAATACAAATATTATATTTTGTGTATTTTTTATACCTGGCTCACGAGGCAGCTCGAGCTTTTAATGAGCCGAGCTGAGCTGGCTTTCTAGCTCGTTAAGATAACGAGCCGAGCCGAGCTAGCTTGTTATCTTAACGAGCCAAAACGAGACGAGACGAGCCGAGCCGAGCCAGCTCGTTATCCAGCCTTACCTGGCACGGATGCAGCACGAGAGCTCGCCGCGCATGGTGAGGCGTGGGGCCGGCGCGGCGCGGAGCTCGTTCGACACGGATGCTGCACAGAGCACCGGCGAGGAAAACTACCAAGATGTTGTCCGGAGCACCGGGGCGCCCAGGGCAGGGGTGGGCGGCAAGGGCCGGGAATGCCGGGGACCGGCGCGGCGATGGGTGGGGGCGGCGCGGCGGCTAGGGAAGATGACTGAGCGCGCACGTAATCTAAGAAGGAGCTGGCTTGAGATGGAAGAAGGATCTGACATGTAGGGCCCACGCGGTTGGGAAAGATGACCGAGCGCGCGTGATCGAAGAAGGACTGGGCTTGAGATGGAAGAAGGATCTGACCTGTAGGGCCCACGCGTCAGTGGGTGTAAAGAGACAGAGGCAGGAGTGGCATTTTCGTCTATACGCAAATACAACGAACTGCAGGTGGTCTTAACGTCTTCGCTAGCGTAGAAAATGGCATGGCTCCAGCTTACTTCAAATTGTAATGGCATGGTTCCAAATAAGTAAATAGTACTTCGCTAGGGTAGAAAATGGCATGGCTCCAGCTTACTTCAAATTGTAATGGCATGGTTCCAAATAAGTAAATAGTAATGGTAATTTACAAAACTTGAAGAATTGTAATGGTACCGATCAAAAAACACATGTTGTAAAACTGGTGACCGTTTGGCATTCTATAAAAGCTGGGTTTATATCCCCCGTCAAATATAAAAATCTTCCTTTTCCAATGCTATTTTCAATTCAGTATGCATCGTGAGTTTGTTATTACGTTCCTATAGAATCTGTCAATCTGAGGCATTGTTGGATTCCCAATCTGTATGTGATTGGGATTTTAGTCTCTGCTTGAGATGACGTTTACAATTTTGCACCCCCGCTAAACAAATCACCTTCCGATCAGCGCTTTCGAAGATGGAACATGGTTGGTGATGCACACGATGCTCGTTCGCCATATACAACCGCCGACAGATTCAGATAACACGATTTTGTGCTGAGGCGATGGTTTTTTTTCGAGAAATGACGATCATCAAGCTGAAACCCGAGGGTTGCCTGCAAATTGCACTGCATCCATGGGAATAGGGAGAAGAAAAAAAGTATTATGGCAGTAGGAAAAAAAGGGAAAGGTGGATTTGTTTGGATTTGGGGAGTGAAACTCTTCTAAATATAAAAAATTGGATCCACACCACTATTTTGATTAGTCTTGGATCCTTCTCTATAAACTACAGAGTCCTTTAACTTTTTCCATTCTTAAAATAGATACAATCTGCAGTAGACATCCTCTTATCACGCTTCTCATAATCAATCCTTTTTTTCAGTTAGTGCCACATTGAGCACGGTACTGCAATCAGCTCAACTTAGGGTGTGTTTAGTTGGGGAGGTGAAATTTTTTGGTGTCACATCGGATGTGTCGGAAGGATGTCAGGAGAGGTTTTTGGATACTAATAAAAAAGCAAATTACAGAACCCATCAGGAAACTGCGAGACGAATCTAATGATACTAATTAATCGGTCATTAGCACATGTGGGTACTGTAGCACTTAAGGCTTTTCATAGACTAATTAGGCTTAAAAGATTCGTCTCGCGATTTTGCCGAGAACTGTGCAATTAGTTTTTTTTTCGTCTACATTTAGTACTCCATGCATGTGTCAACCATGCTCTTTTAGTATAGGAGGAAAAAAAAATTTGGAAACTAAACAGGACCTTAGGATTGGTAAAGAAAGACGAATTCTCGATCACTTGGGAAATTTTTATTTGGTTCATTGATTGATTCTTCATTCCTTCCGGTGGGACCAGAGTCCAGTTAACGGCGCAGATACGTGTGCAATTCACCTGATTCCGCTGGGTCGTGCGTGCACCCAAAACCTCCCGACCGCCGCAGCCATGCAAACCCTCGTCCTCCCCGACGCCATGGCCGTGGCAGCGGCGGCGGCCGACCTGCCACCGCGCACGCAACCTCTGCCCCGCCGCGTCTCGGTGTCGATGGCGCGGGCGCCACGGCAGGAGTCGGACCCGAAGAAGCGGGTGGTGATCACAGGGATGGGCGTGGTGTCGGTGTTCGGCAACGACGTGGGCGCGTACTACGACCGCCTCCTCGCCGGGAGCAGCGGGGCGGCCCCATCGACCGCTTCGACGCCTCCGGGTTCCCCACCCGCTTCGCCGCTCAGATCCGCGGCTTCTCCTGCGAGGGCCACATCGACGGCGAGAGCGACCGCTGCCTCGACGACTGCCAGCGCTACGCCCTCGTCGCCGCCAGGAAGGCCCTCGCGTCCGCCGGGCTCGCCCTCGTCTCCAGAGCGATGTACAAGATCGGCCACACGCCACGCACGCGGTTCGCTCCCGCTTTGCCGACCCCACCAATCTATTCTAACCATCGCAGCGGCCCGCAGATCGACAAGGAACGCGCCGGCGTGGTCGTGGGCTCCGGCAACGGCGGCGCTACGACATTCTCGGCCGGGGTGGAGGACCTCGTGAGGAAGGGGCCAAGGGGAGTCTCCCCCTGCACCATCCCGTTCGCGATGCCCAACGCGGCGTCGGCGCTGGTCTCCATCGACGCCGGGATCGGCTTTCTTGGCCCTAACTACTCCATCTCCACGGCCTGCGCCACGTCCAACCACTGCCTCCACAGCGCGGCCGACCAGATCCGGCTGGGCCGCGCGGACGTCATGGTCGCCGTCGGCGCGGACGCCGCCGTCGCGCCCGTCTGCCTCGGCGGGTTCGCGGCCCTGCGGGCACTGTCGCGGCGGAACGGCGACCCCGGCGCGGCCTCCCGGCCGTGGGACAGGGACCGCGACGGCTTCGTCTTGGGCGAAGGCGCCGGGATACTGGTACGTGCGCGCCGCCGCCGCGCTCTCGAGGGAACGTGTGCGTGCGTCTGTGCTCGCCGCTAATGTTTCGTCGTGCCGTGCGTGCGGCTCGTGCCACGCTGCAAGCTAATGACGAGGATGGATGATGCTTTGGTTGTCAGGTCATGGAGAGCCTCGACCACGCGAGGCGGCGCGGCGCCCCGATACTCGCGGAGTACCTGGGTGGCGCGGCGAGCTGCGACACTCACCACCTGATGGACCCGAGGCCCGACGGCCGTGCCGCGGCGGCGTGCATCAGGCGGAGCCTGGAAGACGCCGGCGTGGCGCCGGAGGAGGTAATAGGGTGCCTGCCGAAATGCTTCGCCCATTGCATTGTTGTGAAAGGTGGGTGATGATCCATCCACTGAATCTGCATGCGCTGCAGGTGAACTACGTGAACGCTCACGCGACCTCCTCGCTTGCCGGGGACCTGGCAGAGGTGAAGGCACTGAAGCAGGTGTTCAAGAACCCGTCCCAGATCAAAATGAACGCGACCAAGGTGCACGGTTGCACATGATGATTATCTGTTTTTGCTGCAACAATTTGGCTTGAGGTCCGTGCATGATGGCGCAACTGATGTCTGTGTCGGTGTCTTCCTCTCGCAGTCCATGATCGGGCATTGCCTTGGCGCAGCCGGCGGGCTGGAAGCCATTGCGA